TTGTACAAGTCTTGTTGCTTTCTGTGTTTGTGAAAATAGTAGAGTGAGTTGTGTTACTGTGTTGCCTCTACTTAAGATTAACCTCCGAGGCTAGAAAATCCTCCACTACATCTCTTACTGATCCCTGGTTTTAAGACTTGAAGTCCCAGACACGAAACTTTAGGTTAAGAATGGAGTAGGTTTTGAAAGTGGATGTATGATGCTGTTTGAATCAAAGTAATGCCCAAAGGTACTTCTCCTCTAGTTTCCCCAAGGCAACCAAGTGCAAATTAGAAAAAAGTATTCACCACTGCTGTTCTTAGCAAACATCATAAATAAGCAATAGTAAGCAGTGGGTTGTGGAAAACCTGCCACAAGTCTCAGTTCTGACAGTTTTCAGCAGTGTAAGTTAACGATTGTTAATTTGAGCTTATCTAGTTTCAACTTACGAACAGAAATATCTAAGTGTAAAGAAGTGCTATCCTCACTACAAATTGAAAAGCTGAAAACATGGTCCACATATTTCTGGTTCAATAGTAATTTTAAAAATTAAATAACAAGTGGTTGGGATTTAGTAATCTTTGAGAATTTCAAGCATTGAAGAACTAAAGGAGAACAGAGCCAGAAAACCAAGAGCTAAAGAACAAAAATTGCAGGATGTCTCTAACCATTAAAAAAATCTGGTCTTGGAGATGGGCATCTGGAATGGATAAATATTTGTTTAACAGATACACAAGTTCTTATGTTAACATACAACAGAAATTGCATTCCTTATTCAAATCTTCAGCAAAGAGCTTAAGAAATTTTCAAAGTGATTTTTTTCTGAAAAGGAGTTCAACAGAAAGAAGTAAGAGCAGCTGAAGAACTGAAGTGAGTCAAACTATAAAACTGGATCAACAACTGATAAATTCAAGACTGGAGTTTAATCTGCCTTATTCCTCTGAACCCTTTCTTCAATAGATACAGACCTGAAAAGACAATGGTTAAAGAGAACTTCCACTGGCAGATGACACCCAATAGAAGCTTCACCAATATCATATGAAAAGTTTTAAGAAAGTTCTGGCATGTCTCTAAATGAACAGAGCTTAAAACTAAACTGGAAAGAGGACAATTCTGTGATAAAACTGCAGGGTAATAGCACAGACAAAAGTTTCTTCAAGTATCAGCATGGCTACCTGTAAGACAGAATAATGCCTAAACGCTTTACACAGCACTATAAAGAAGGCTTCAAAAGCACCTTCAAAAATTTTCAAAGCCACTTAAGCCTGTCAAATAGTTATTTAGCCAAAGAAGGAAACAAAGGAGGAACAGCAGTTTAGCAGAGACTACCTCATTTCACCATTAAGCCCTGTACCATCTCATTGAACACTTTAGTTCCCACTAAATCATTTTTAAACTGATACAGAAATGAGACTCACATGCAGACAGTTATTAAGCCTCCCAGAGTACTTTCTGCAAGAAAAAGACACGAAAAAGGCTTAAGCCTTTTTCTCTTTACCTCTTTTCTTTCCTGTAGCTTTAATCATGTAAGTTGCCCTCTGACATCTGTCATAACCTATTATGTTGCACTGCTGATGCTAGTAAATACAAGTCTAAAATTCACTGCTAGGTGAAGTGACATACTGCACAGCCCCAGGGTTCACCTCCTTCAGGAGAGAAAGTCTGAGTATATCACTATAAATATTTTATGGCACACACTGTTCCCGGAGAGAAAAATTTTATTTTTTATTTGTTTTATGGTTATATATTAGGTTATTTCCGGAATCTTCATAGCTTCTGAAGGTCATTAATATGTAAGTTATTTAACAGAGACCTTGAGAGGTTAAAAAAAATGTAGTAATCAGTGGTTACTGGAAGCTTTTCTAGTTGTCTTCAATAAGTTAAAAATCCAACCTGAAGTTGGACTTTTAAATATTTAATTATACAGATAAAAAATTAGGAGATGCATGCAAACTTCTGAAGAATCTGGATTAAGGACTTTGGCTCTTGATCTTTCATTTTTTGGAATAAGAAGAAAAAAGAAAAAAATCAACTGGAATAGTAATAAAGTTTGCAATGAGGCACACCTCAAACTGTAACCAAAATTTAAACATGGTTAAAATATTATAAATCTGTGGGGAGATTTTTGGCTTTAATACAAGCTAAAATGAAAATGCATGGCACTTGTGTCAAGTCACAAGCACTGAGATCTCATGCCTTCTTGTTTGAAGGAACTATTCTGAGGTCTCCATCTTCACAAGTTTACACCCCCTCACTTCTGTCACAGAAATCTGACAAACAATCACACTAAGTGGGCTCTGGCTCTGCTTTAGAACATGCCAGTTCCAAGGCCTGCTTCTCCCAGAAACTTCTGAAATATGTAAGCCTGGTCGGAAAAACATCTGCAATTACAAATGTTTTCTTGCTCAGGTGGCTAACAAATGTCTTTCCTCGGAAAACACATACTCTGATCTAAGCTACTTTTGAGGGGGGCAGAGACCTTTGGAGATGTGAGAATTTATATACACAATATGCTTTTGACATATGAAGCCTCAGAACAAGATCACTAGTCTTTACCTCTTCTTCCTTGCGGATATTGCACTGTATGGGTGTCACTTTGGCAGGACTCATGGAAGAAAACATACAATTTAGTTCTTCTGCAGCAGCTTTTAATCGGTCAAATTTACGAGAGGCAATAACAACACTGCAACCTGTAGAGACAAAATGAAACATTCTTCAGCTAATGGAATTATGCTATTTTTTTAATACCATAATGGAGATATCTGGTAAAATGCACCATCATTAGTCACTGACTAGAAGATACAATGTTGAAGTTCTTGCAAGAGAGAGAAATGACTGATGTCAGGTGCTTCTTAGCAACAAGATCCCTTTGTGGCAGGAAAAGAGCAATAAATAAAAAAAAAAGTCCACAAGGCTCCCTCTCCTTCCTGCAGAGGGGAAGATAGCCTGTGAGTTGCAGAGTCAGCAAAGCAGCTTTCAGACATCACTTTTGCTGCCTCTGCTCACAGCTGCCTCATTTATCAATTAAGTGATTTAAAGATGTTTCAGCAGGTCTTGATTACAAAAAAATGCTTGCTTCTAAAGCCACAAAAATAATCTTACCGTGTGACTGGCTGTAATTTTGACTAGCAGTGAGCAAATGTAATGCTCTGCTTTTTAACCCTACAGAGACCGAAGGAAAGGATAATAGGCTCATGAGATTAATCCCTATCTGCAGACTACAGGCAGCAGGAAGAGGCTTTCCTGTGGCACTGCAGAATCCTAGCTGCAGAAAGGAGAGGGAAAAAATAGGCAGGAGCTCAAGTATTCTGGGTTTTTTTCAGCATTTGGAGGCAGAAGGACTCATTCTACAGAGAAAAAACAATGCAAATGCCAAATTAAAGGCAACCACTCACATTACAACCAGTCTAGTTTCTTCTGTCACACCAGTGGACTCAGGACAGCTTTAAGGATTCAACAATTGCTACCACATAGACTAAACCAAAGCACACTGAATTAATTCCTAGTGCAAATCCATGCAAATACTAGTGCAAATTTCATATCATGGATAAGCAAATTACTAGCTCCCACTGCCAAGTAGACAAGGAAGTCTTGCTCCCAGTTTGCTCTGCTGCTCCCATAACCTTAGTATCCCAGCAGAAGTCATCCATTCCTCATACCAGGTCAACTGCTTATCTGCTTTAACAAAAACCAATTCAACACCCGCAATCAGTCAAAAAAAAAAAAAAAAAGTTCACATCTTGCCAGGTGTAGGGGTTTTTTTTCCCCTCCTCTGTTGCCAAGTGGAATTTGGCCTCTCATGTGATCAAACACCAGAATCAACTCAAAATAACTAGAGGGAGGAAGAAGCAGCAAGCTATTCATTTGAGTCAGGCTGTCTTATGAAAATATACATAAAACAAAACAAACAAACCAACCAACCAAAAAAAACCCCCAAAATAAAAACCAGCCAAAAATTAGTTGAATTCTTCCAGAAGTGCTGCAACTACGTATCCCTAGGAATGGGAGATTCACCTTTAATCAGTGACCATCTTAAAACAACATACGGAAAGATAGTAGTCTCTGAGGTCTCCTGATATTTTAAATTAAGAACTCCAGTCACTTGAACAACCACCTGACTAACGCAGAGTCCTTAAAATGGCACACATAATTACCCATTAACACAAATACTGAAAAGGATAGCACAGTTATATCTATCAACTTAAGCGCTTACTAATACACACACTGATAGAGAATAAAGACCAGTAAAAGACTGTATTTTTGCTAACTATGCTAATTGGGAGAGGGAGATATTATGACTCATGAGGTACACTTGGTACCTACTGCACAAGCTGACATTACTTCATTTTTTTTTCTTGACTGGCATTATGTGTCATTGCTCAGCACACAGTGATGTTCTTCAACTTCAGGACATGCCTGTCACAGGCAGTGAGAGAGAAGCACCACGTCTCTGATGTTACTGTGTGGACAGCAGTTCAAAACGACACTGCTCCGCAAGGCTCCGTTCAACAAACCCATAAATCCTCCAGTTAACTCAAGATGAAAACTCACTGAAGGCAGAGTCTGAGAGAAAGGGTCCGGGTTTAACACGGCCTCACTGTGACCGCTGTGCTTAAAACCTTTAACGTGCCAGCGGGCCAAAGGGCACAGCCCCACACCAACCTCACCTTGTGGCCCTCGCCGCCCCCGTCACAGCGTCCCACCCAGGCGCTCCTGGCAGCGCCGTCAGCCCCCCAAAGGCACCGCAGCCCGCCGGGCGCTCCCCGGCCGTCCCTCAAACCTCATCCGACCCCCAGCACCCTCCTCGCCCCGCTGCCCCACCGGGGCTCCCCGCGGAGCCTCCGCCCCTCCCCGCGCCCACCTAGCGCCAGCAGGTCGGCGGCGATGGCCTTGCCGATGCCGGTGCCGCCGCCGGTGACGATGGCGACCCGCCCGCGGAACAGCCCCGCCGCCAGCAGCCCGCGCCCCGCGGCCGCCATCTTCCCCCTCCCTCCGTCCCCTCACACCGCCCCCGCCGAGTGACGCGCGGCCCCGCCCGCCCGGGGCTCAGCGCCGGGGACAGCGGCGGAGCGGAGGCATCAGCGCTGCCGGCGGTGCCCGGGGTCCTGCGGCGCGGCTCCGCGGGCGGCAGGTAAGGGCGGGCGGCTGTGCGGGGTCAGGAACGCCCAGGTCCGACCCCGCGGGGGAGACACCGCTCAGCGCCGGGGAGGGGTCGGTGCCGCCGGTGGCGCCCCGGGGTCGCCGCTGCAGCGAGCGCCCACCTGCCCCCAGCCGCGGTCGGGTTGCCGTGTTTTTCTGCACCGCTCCGGGTCAACTTCCCCGTGGACGCGGGCAGGCACCCTCAGGATCAGCGGGAGCGGAGCCCGGGCCGGGGGAATGCCCATGGGGTGTCACAGTGCGCAGGGAAAGGTGCTGGTGTGCGCCGGCCGCGGACCCGCGGGCGGGGAGTCCTCTCTCCGCGCCCTGAGGGCTGAGGATGTAGCGTTTACCGTGTCCCCACTATAGTCATTTGGGGCTAAGATGCCTTTGTGGTGGTGTTCCACCCCCCAGCCCCAGAAATCGCCCTAACTAAGCGCAGTATTATTTGCTCAATTGACACAGAGAACAGCCAACATTATTTTCCTTTCTATCCTACAGTGAAGTGACAGAGCATCTTTGTCAATTGCAGGTGATATTAACCAGCGCTGATGTGCCCAGCAGCGTCTGTGTGCATGTTCAGTGTCTTTCCAGGCATCTCCTCTGTCCTTTTCAATAGAAGAGATATTTGAAAGTATGTCTTAATTTTGTCTCGTTATTTTTGCCTTAGGAGAGTTGGCTAATATGAGGAGACAGTGAGATTTTTTTTGTAAAAAAAGACACATATAGGTAAAGTGGGAGGAGAATCACTGAGTCTGTTGTGGTTTTCTCGTTTGTTAAACAAATTTATTTACTTTTCCCAAAACATTTTCTGAGGTTTAATACTTTAAATCTGAGACAATTTTAGGATAACATCTTTATCCTGAAGTTCAGTGTTTTTCGACAGAAGCTGTATATCCTCCTTTAAAGTGTAGGGAAGAGAAGGCATAGAGAAGTTAGCAGTATGTCCAGGCTCATTCAGCAAAGGGTGGCAAGACAGGAGTGGATTTCTGCATGGTGGCTTAGGCCAGTGAGACAACCATTAGAAAAATTTGCCCTTTTTGGGTGGGTTCATGTTTGTAGAATCCTTTAATGTTTTAAAACACTCCACTTTCTGGAGGTAAAACATGAAGCACTGTGAGTGACACTGCAAAAAAAAAAAAAAAAAAATTCCCCTCCTTTAATTATCTTCCACAATCTGAGACTTCACAGATCCCTATTAACTGTCTCTGGCTGCCCTACATATCTCAGGCAGGCTGTATCAGAGCGATCATTAATTAATCCCAGGGAGAAGCACTCATCTGTGCTAGTGAATTAGATCTTCATACTCCAACCTGCCTGCCATCCCAACTGAGCTGCAGGGCTCCAAAGGAAATCCAGAGAGCCTCTATGCTCATGTGACCTCCTTGATTTCACTATTAAATGATTTTTTTTCCCCTATCAGGATATATTGCTTGTTTTTTGGAATTTCTCAGTAGCCACAGAAATGCAATTAATAAGGGACTGAATGTGTGGGTTAAGATTCTGTTAGTGATGGGTGGGAGGAGAAAGGGGAAAGGGATACAGACTGGAGAGGAAGAAGGAGAGAAAAGGAGACATCCATTCCTTGGCCACCAGTGGAGGGTAGCCCCTTCTGGTACAAAATTTATCCACAAAGAATAGAGCTGAGATAACCAATACTCACAGACATTTTCAGCAAGGCAGTGGCTTCTGTTCACTGTTGTGTGGGTTGCCTTTGAACCAAGGATTCCAACTGTACCTTTGTGTGACTCGATTTTACTCCAGGGCTTGAAATTCAAAATTATTTAAGCTGAAAGGGAGAAAATCTTATTAACTAAAATCAATTTTAATCTTCTCATATGCTTGTTCTTTCTTAATCACAAAGGAATGTTAATTTTATTGGTAGCACTAAAACATGTTGGTCTGTCACTACATGCAGCCATAGTGGTAAATTAGTAAGCAGAAGGCTCTTTCATATTTATGTTACTCTATAAACTTAATGTTCAGATTCTGAATTTTTATGTGTTGGAAAATAGTGTCTGATTAGACAGCTTATTCTTTATTTATTTTTTCAGTATATGTCAGCTTGAATTTGGAAGAAAATCTGCATTTAAAGCCTTGGAGTCAAAATTTTCATTTTTTGGAGTTAACTATCTGAATTTTTTTTGCCTTGGTATATCTATCACTTTAAAATTCCAAAATCAAAATGACACATTTAGGAAAAAGAATTAATCTGTAGTTTTTTCCAGTTGTCATCTCCTTTGGAGTTCTGGGACTAGCACATGTCATTCTTGAACATTTACTTTTTTTATTTATATATCAAAGAGGAAAAACTAGATTTCCTGTTTTTACAGCTCCCAGATTGTATCTTGGCTTTGAATGAACTAGTTCAATTTGTTGAGATGAATAGGAAACTCTGCATTTTCAGAAAAGGCTACTTTTGTCCAAAGCTGATGTACTTTGCCAGCCTATGGCTCAGCTATTCAGCTGATGACATCTGCCAGTCCAGAACTCTGCCATGCTTTAAAAATCCTGGCACTGATATGTACTGCCTTAATAATTCCTTGTATCATGCTATCCTTCAGGGTGTCTGTGCCCTCCTATAGCTTGTAATCCTTTTTGGCATGGGGGAAGGTCTCACAGTTGTTAAATACCAACCTGGTGTGAGAAAACAGATGGCTCCAAACAGGAGAGAAACCCCCACAGGATCCAAACCCCAGGAGAGGTATCCCTGGGGTCAGCAATCTGACAAGGAGGTGAGAGCAGAAGAGATTTAATGAAAAGCATCTTAATGCCAGAAACAAAATTTTAATGTCAGAGACCATTTCTGACACAGGGTTTTTGCAAAAAAAAACATAGTTGCACTGCAACAGCCTCTGCTTTTGCAGAACTCCACTCTTATAGGTGCTCCAGGTTCGTTTCTTCTCCTGGGATACCAAACTACACAAAGTATAACAACACTAATTTCTTCCCTCCCCATATCTATTACAAGAAATGCCTGGATCGAGCCAAAACCAAATGAAATCCAGTGTAAGTTTCAGTGTCTTTACCTCTCTGGACCTTTCAGTGGGATTATGCAACAGGCCTCGTTGGAAATCCCTGCTACTTTCACCTCCTGTACATTCTTCTCTGAGACTGTTCTTCCTTTCATTGTTTCTCACCAGCAAGTGAGAGCCTTGCTGTTTTGTGGTCTCTGATTTCCGTGTCAGAACAGCCTCCTGGTCAGCCCCAGCTGATGTTCAGGTTCTCTGGTCAATTAATCTCTTTAGGGACTTCCTCTCTGGAAAGGTGCTTTACTCTGAGCTGTATCTTGGAGGATTTCAGTCTAATTAGGAGATAATCAGGATTTTACAGCCTTTTATCATTATCCCTAGGAATTTCATTCCAGTGAAGAAAAAAAATGCAGATACCAAGAAAGACATCCCACTCAAAGTAGAGTTCGTAGTGGTGCAAGATGTAGAATATCAGCATCAAACAGTTTGAAACAGGTACGTTGACAGATTTTCTAAATAATCACACACCCTGCTAATACCATACTAATGATACTAAATCATTCACTTGTCCGCAATTCAAAGTGCTGCATTTTTAATATCCCAGCATCATGGATCTCTATCTGCACTTGTATCCAATCGCAAGTCCCCTGAGCCAAGTAATTCCTGCTGCTGGAGATACTGTCTAAATACCTTAGATTATATTTACTGTGCAATGCATTAAACAATCCTGAATCACTCCCAGGGGAATCTTCCAGTTCTCTCTCTGTGCAGTTGTGCTCTCCAGCAATTCCTGGGCTGCAGCCAGGCATTACTCTGAGGAAGTTCTGATTGAAGCCCCCAAATATCTTGCCTAAATAAGAATCATAGACTGTATCCTCACCTCAGTATTTTTCAGATGATCCTTTCCAGACCGGATTTACAATTGACTGCATTTTCCATTAGGCTGTATGACTGCAACTGCTTCCTCTCTAATTGCAAATATTTCAATGTGTGGTCTCCTCATTTTGTCTGAGTAAAACATCAGGGTGTTTGATCTTGCCAGTACAGAGCAGGGCAAGAAAGGGGACTGAGACGGTCAGGGGTCTTCTGAGTAGTGAGGAAGGAAAAAGAGCCTGAGATGTCAACAAGGATCCTTGTTTTTAATTATTGTCAAGGTCAGACAATAGTCTAGCATGCATTAAAACATCCTCTTGAGAGCAGTGCATGATGGAGGTCTTGCAGTCCTTCACTGACATCACCTACCAGCCAGGTCTGTAGCAGATGTTTTGTGTCAGCCCAAGTGTCTCACACCCACCACTGGTGCTTCATGCCTTTGGAGGCTTCAGGCACAGCAACTCCTGGTGTTTTTTACTTGCACATATGTGTGTGTATACACTCTGTAGAAGGTATTTTCTCTGCATGCTGATAAGGGAGGTGAGGAGCTCTGTTGTTACTGTTTTCTAGGCATCTGCTTGGATGCCTGGAGGGGAGGAGGCACACCTCTGGTCTGTTGTATGCAGTAAGTTCCTAGTGCATCTTCCAGTCACAAGATAGAACAAATTGGGTATTACACCAATAAAAATAGATGCTACACATGATCCTAGCCTAATAAAAGCACTGCTGTGGAGGCAGGATATTGGACTAAAATTGGTGGGATTGACTAAGTTCAGCTGTTCCTATGGTATGGTGTAATCCAACAGTGACTTGGTGGATGGGGTAGGGATTACAATCAGCACCTGATGTTTCAAGGTGCAAGATGGCCTGTTTTGGCAAATGCAGAACTGAGGGGTAGAGCAGGGGAACAGAGAAAGTGTCTCTCCACTTTATGGTTGACATTTTTTTTCCCCAGAAGATTTAGGGACTTCTGTTTACTCAAGATTCATATCTAAATGCTTGGTTTGCTTTGAAGATTTCAAACCAACTTCCATTTCCAAGTCATGCTGCTTTGAAAGCCTTGGTTGTCTTTAAAGGCTAATGTGCACATGCCATTCCTTGACATTTTTAGCGCTGTATAATAAAGAAACAAATATAATCCATGTGGAGGTACAGGAAAGCTTTGTGTCCTTTGTCTCAATTTTTCTTTCTTTTAGCAGTCTGGACAAAGAATTGGGAGGACAAGGGCAGGACAGCACTTCAGGCTTTTGCTCTAAAAGAAGGTAGACCAGTACAGTTTGAGGATTTAAAAAAAGTTGGTATGCAAGGAATCAATTAGGCATTTCATTTAATATAAAATAAAAATGCTCAGCTATTTTTTATGCTGTCTTCCAGTCTTCAGTAATAAGTGATCTACACAGCAGTTATTATTCTGTGACATTTGGAAAAGTTATGGAACAGCAGAGGAAAATAAAAAGACCTGATTCATAAAACATATGCTCTGTAAAATGTCCTTGACTTTAAAAAAAATCCTTTGAAAATGTCATTCAGAAACAATATAGTAATACTTTGGAGTGCCTCTCTCTGCTACGTTTTTTTTTTTTTTGTATCTGTAGAATATTGTCAGCAAGCATTTGGGTGTCTTATGGAAGGATGGAAGCAACCCAGCATGGCCCTGGGAGCCAGCAAGCCCTTAATCCACACACAAGCAGGTCTAGTCTTGCTGCAGCTTCAGTGATGGTTGACCAGCTGAGTTGGCCAGTGCAGATCTGGCTCGCAGTGCCAGCAGGATGGGCTCAGTAGCTGCTCAGCAGTGTGATGCAGGCTGGCACTAGTTCCACCTGGCTACAGGTAGGAGCTGTGTGCCAGTGATAGACTGGAAGGGCTGGGCAAACTTGGGTCTGTCAGTGCTTGTCTGCAGAAGTTGTGTTGCTTGCCCACAGCTCCCTTCGCTTTTAGCTTGAGCTTTTAACACCCTCTGCTCCTGAGGAGAAGACATGAAGCAGAGAAGGGGCTCCATTAGCAAACAGCCATAAAGTTTTTGATGGCATGAGTCATCTTACTGTGCTATCCCCTCTGCTGGGGTGTTCAGTGCCATTCTCTGCTTTTGGCCATCCAGCTTGAAGTCTGCTCCTGCTCGGATGCACGCCCAGATCATGGTCATTTTTCTTGTCTCTCTCTCCAGGACATGAAAGTGCTTTGAACTCTGTAGATTAAGCAGGGAGGGAAAGGTGGGTGTTATCTATGGACTTGGCCATTTGCTTTCTTTTACCTTGCTGGGGTGGCAGAGGCGGATGTTCCTCTTTGTACATCTTGCTGTTGTACAGACACTTAATGCAACCTCAAAATGGGCCACTGCCAGGAGAGGTAGTTTTTTCTCCCTTGCTTGGACATTCTTTCCTCTAGAAGGAGCTACACAGTGAACCTGATGAGCGAATCCGCCTGGCTAAAAATAACATTTTATTATTTTCTGTGAGATAAATCCCCCTGTCAAGCTTACCACAAGCTGCACAGAACCTAGTACTGATAGGGAGGGGCTGTTCTTACCTTACCATCTAATATGTCATTCATCCCAGCCTTGAGTATTTGCTAGATTCTGTGCAATCTAGTTTGAGCTATTTCACCGTGAAATAAAGAGAAGACAGGCATCCTCTGTTTCAGTAGGTGAAGATGCATATGTGAAAGATAGCGTGGAGTCATTAAGTATTTAAAACAGATACAAAGCTGTCAAGGGAGCCCAACCATTTGGCCCTTTCCCTAAGGTCTGAATTAAATGTGCTTTCTTACGTAGGTCTTGCACATGTTTTTATTGGGTCTGGGGCTGTATTTCTGCATTGGACCAATGTGCTTCGTTGTAACACAATTGACTGGTGACAGACAGATCTGTCCTGAACAGCTGGATGCATCTAATACCATCTATTTCTCATGTGTACAATCTGCCAGCAGATAAGCCCTTTAAAAATTACTAGAGATTGGAAAAGATCTTTTTGGGTAACATGCCTGCTTAAAAACATACATGCATATGCACAAAATCAGGGGCAGGCTTGGGTGGAGATAGGATTGGGGATGCGGTGGTTATGGAGTAAAAGCAGCAAGCAAAGGAAGATCCAGGGCTGGGAAGCTCTCTCTTGAGGTGTATCTCTGGGGTAAATTTCCCTTTATCTCTTTCCTGTCCTGCATAGCTCACAGTGCTTCTAAAGCACCGGTTGTTTTTTGTTTCTGCAGACAACCCCTGCATGATGTGACTGAAGATACAGTGTCAGTTCTTCTTATGTTATACATTTTATGTGACTATAAAAATAAAAATTGATGCTCCTTGCTGCTTACCGTCTACATTTTTTCCTCTCCTGTCTGCTCTGAGCAGTCATAAAAAGGTTACTTGTGCTGTAGCAGGGATTTAAGATCAAGGATTTTATTAGCTTGCAGGAGGGCTCTTCCTTCCTGTCTGCATTCAAACCTGATAATTTGTCTCCTGTTAGTAGCAGGATCAAGCCCTGAGAACCAATGGAAGAAGCTTTCTTTGACCTAAATGGTGCAAGGCCAAGATTTTAGGCTCCTGTTTTGTGTGTCAAAGACTATTCCTGTCATGGGAAGCATAAGTAGCACTAGCTTTCCTGCATAGTAACAGAAGACTCTGCTTCTAAAAATTCCTCTACTGAGTGTTTTTGCAGAGTTGCCTCCCCAGGGTTCTCCATCTGTTTTCATATGGAGATTAATAACAAATTGTTTGGCTAATAAACTGCTCCCTGCTATCTCTGAAATGTGACCATTTCTTTCCCTTCCTTCCCATGCACAGTTATTAGATTCCTGTCTGTCCTTGTGCTCCCACGTGGAATACATCACTAATACAAGATGCTCAGCTTTTGTCATGCTGCAGCTCCACAGCAAGGCTTTTAAGGGGTGAAGATTTTGGTGTGTGGCTGAAAGAACTGGTGCTGTGGACAGCTGTGTAGTGCTGAGGGCTGGCCTTATTCTTAGAGGCTGTAAAAAAAAGAAAGAGAGAAAAATTAGGTTTTGTGTACACTACTGTGATTTCTGCAAGAGCCCTTTTCTTGTCTGCAACTACAGAGAAAATATTCCCAGGAAACACGGGACTGGAGCCTGAACCTGTTTGACTCCCAGCACCTGCTGCAGAATGTGGGGCTGCTGGTGGTACTTCAAAGTGCTGTGTTCAGAAGGTCTGGACCAGCTGGCAGAGGGTATTTCAGCCGCTTCGTTGGGAAACATGAGAAAAAAATAAACGTGATGTGAAAACAAGCATGAGATCAAGAAGGATCTTTGTGATCTACGATCTGACTGCTCCCTAATACAAATCAGAAGACTTCACAACACTAACAGCTCTTCTACTCAAGTACAGGTGACCAAACTGCTGCCTAGATAGCCAGTCCAGATTTGGAAATTTCCAGTGATGGTATGTCAGTCATCCAGTTATGTATATCAAGTGACACCTACCCACTTTGTTAAAACACCTACCTAATGTCTGCCCTGTTTTTGTATCTTGCAGCTTTTTATCTTGCTGCATCCTCGTCTGCTGGATCAGAGGGATCTCCTTCATGGTTTTGTTTTTGATGTAGACAGATTGACATTACATTTTACCTTCTTGTACCTTAAACAGAATAATCTGGGCTCCTTCCCTTCCTTATCCCAAGGGCTCTGACTCAGCCACAGGAACAGTGCTTCTTAGGGGCTTGTCCCCTATTGCCCATTCCCTCTCCTTTTATCAACATGACAAGAAACTGAGCTGCCACCCTTTGATAACCCTGCTGTGGAGGTGTTTCTAGTCCTGGTTGTAATTCACAGTGGGGGTAGCTGCTACAGTGGGGGTGGGAATGTCAGGCATAGCAAAATAACTCAGGGATCATAGATGTCTTCTGATCATTAATCATCATTCTGCCTGACTGCTGAGCACAAGAATGGGACACAGATTTCCAGTGGCAGAGATTTCTGTGACAGAGACAAAAGTAAAATAACCTCACTCCTATGTCAGCCAAGGCTGACCTAGTCCTTTAGGCTTTGGCATCACACTGAAGACTGACGTCAGCTTATCATCCACTGGAGTTTAAGCAAGGCCAGAGCTGGATCAGCTTGAAGAAAAAAAGAAGCCCAACCACAAATCTTTGCCCCTAGCTTTGTGTTATTTTTAAATGTTATTTGCAAGTCATCCCTTTCTCAAGTCAGTAGGTACTGAGCATGGAACTACAGCCAGGAACTTTGGGAATCTAAACCCCAATCAACTTCTGTCTCCAGGCTTGTAGTAGATTATCCCAGCAGTGATGCTTTTGGTTTCTCTGTGTTTCCAGGCCTGTTTTCATCACTTCTGGGAGCAGAATCTCACTGTTGTTCCAGGGGCTCATTAGAATCAGTCAGGTGATTTTAGGATTTCATAGATGCAAAACTTGAAGTTTTACTGCTGATTTTCAGAGAAAAATGTTAGATCATATTGTACCTCCTGGATGAATTTACTACAAAGAGTGAGTTTATCCTATAGCATAAATTCATTCCATTTACCCATAAAGGCATTTTTAAAATACCCGGAATGAAAGCTTACATGAATTTCTGTTTTCCAGTATGTCTGCTAATTTAGGCATACATTTTTGATGGCAGGTGAGATGGCAATCTATAAACATTCTGTTCCCAGCCCTCCTGCAGAGCTGACAAAGACATTCTCTGCACAGTGATCTAGAAGTAGTCTGACTTCTGGGGTATACCGAATCTTGGGTTTTTTTAAATTCCATTTTATGTGTCTTCTGATCACCTGGGAAGATTTATTTTCTATAATGCAAAAAAATAATCTCAATTGTTGCGTTCCGCAAAGCCCCATAGAGCCAACTGATCACATTCTTAGGTGTTAAGGTGATACAATTAAAAGTTTTGTGTGTGGGAGATGTGCATAAGTGTGAGTGTATGAGACATAAATGGTTGATCTAAAGTTCTGCACAAAATTTCAAAACAAACCAGGAAAATCTTAGATCTGTGGGAAGACCAGGATCATATTGCCAAATATAAAAATGCTCAACTTTTTTTATAGCATCTGTTCAAGTTAAACAATTTCCCCAGCATTGTGGGGGCTACAAATTATGATAATTCTGTTTCTTAGTTTTCTGTTAAAGAGATGACTCAGTTACTAGGTAGAAGCTTAATTACTGGTCACGTGCATTCTTTTAAATACAAATGTTCATGTAAATGTTCAACAGAGCTCTTCAGAGATGTTAAAGCATTATTCAGTGTATTCAGATTTGTACCTAAATACTTCATGAATACTTGGCACAGTCAGTTTCTTAAATGTTATGAAATCTGAGAACCATTAATCCTGCGTCTTCCATATTCATGGAACAGGATTTGTCTGCCTCAATGCATGTTTAATTATGTGGCTTTTACTTAGGCAGCTTCCCCATAGATAACAGTTTCACGTGGTATTACTGTTAATTTTACTTGAATGAGGAGCAAAAAATGGAGCCCTCATATTTGTACAAAGATTTGTGAAGATTTATGTTGTTTTCACTGCACAATCAGGAGACTTCTGTGGTTCCCAATTCCCTCCCTAACAAAGTCATCTTAATAATAATTTTGCTTTAAATGCACTGTATGTACTGTATTTTTCCAAGCTTGGCAACACTGAATATTGCTAAATTGCTAAGGTTTGAATCATTTTGACAAATTTTGACATAATTTGATTAATTTTTTTAATATCCTTGCAATGGTCAGTAAATCAGAAGATGCTCAAAATGAGAAAGGCTGAAACCAATATAGCTGTTGTTATACCGGACAAGTGCAGTGTTCCTGTTGCAGTTGTCTCTAATCTGGTCCCTTAAATTGGTCAACTTCTTTTTTAGTCCTTTATTCTCATGCATTTGGACCCAAACTATTGTCTTCTGTTTGTTTCTAGCATTGCAGAGGAATGTTAAATTCATCCAGCAAGCTGTGCTTGTTTACTCCCTTCTTATAAATTTTAATACTATTTCATTTTCCGGTAGCTTTGATTTGTTATATTTAAAATTGGACACTGAAAATCAAGATTAGATTAGATACAACAAAAATTCTGTTAGTAGAATTGATGTTCAGGACAGTAGTAGAGATCTTCAAATGGCATTTAAGCCAGTTGGAAGTAACCCTTTTTATGAAAACACTGCCAATTTTTTTCTGCTTGGTAAGAAAAAGACACTTTTTCAGACTTCTCTCTCATTTTAGGCTGGGAATGGAGTGCGTGGATGTCAGCAGGGGGACATTTTGCCAAAACAAAGCATCCACGGCACTGTTGTCTAATCAATGACTTCTAAGTGCAGGATTGGTGCTGTTAGATTGGAAACAGGTGCTACAAGATGCCAAGCGAAGTGCTTGAGACCAGCAGCGGGATGGAGGAGACGGTGCAGAAAGACAGCAAGTCTGGAGGCCAGAGCCCTCGCTCTGGCACAATGAGAAGGGCTGTGGCAACCACTGTCACCTTTGATGGGGAAGCCACTATGGACCGGAGGAAAAGGAAGAAAAAAGAGTCCCGTCCCGAGTCAATAATAGTGTATCGGTCAGAGAGTGACAATAAGGTGGAAGAAGAACAGGCGGATGAAGAAGGAGGGGAGAGGAGCTCTGAGGAAGGCTCCAAGTTCCTGGGTCAGTCTATGGCAGATGGTATGTATTCCTGGGAACACCCACTTCCCATAAACTTTTTGGTGACAGCTTTCTTTAAGGTCAAATGGAAATGACAGTGGCACCAACCCTCTCCAAGGCTGCAGGCAAAGGGAGTTTGAGTTCATACATGAAAATGCTCTGAAATAATAAGGACTACAGGCTGATTGGGGACATCTCCTGCAGTTCTTTGCAGAGTTTGGTTGTTGCCACACTTTTTAAATGTGTGTGCCGGTTGGAGTTGATCCAGAAAAATGCTGTGCATGCTTTAAACAAATAATTCTATGATCAAGACGCTGTCCATGGCTGAACAACTGCCTATTAAGTGAAAGGATGGAAGCAGATGGATTTAGTGGCTCTACCCCTGATAGGGATTTTTACTCATTATCTAGGATTTGCTTTTTGTTTGCATACTCTCAGCATAGCTTCCTCTTGAAGAGTGATGATTTGACAAGGTCATCATGGGGCACCTTGGAGCCACTTTTACTTCTGATGTCTGTCCTGGTCACCCTTTCAGGGAAGAAGGGAAGAAGTGTGAAAGGCAGGGCCTGTGGCTAATACTTTTGTGAGTCAGCAGTGCAGACTGAGAGGGGCTTAAATGTGAGTGCAAGCTCCTGGTCCATCAGATGCACCAGATTCCCCCTTGATCCCAACCCCTATCCTCATGGCTTATCTGCTGCCTTCTTTTTGTGGACCACTTCAAACTGCTCAGCCTGTTTTTAAGAGTTTCTGAAGACCTCCTTCCAAGCTAGTCAGAATTAATACCAAGAGGAAACATATTTTAGCGCCATGGAAGAGTTTATGCCTAGTATCACTGCAGGAACCATCCTATACCAATGTCACTTGAACACTAAGGCAGTCTATTTGTAACTTCAGCACATATACCATCACTATCCTGCTTATTGATCTCTTAAAATACAAATATAATTATATGGCAGTTTGTAAGGTTTTTCCAAATGTCAAAAAGTAATTTGAAATGAGATACAGTGCAAATGTAAAGTGAAATATTAGCTATTCAGGTATAACTCCATGTGTGGATGTGCTTATTCCAGAATAAGAGTCTCAGTCACATTTGTCTAATTCATCCCAAGTGTCCATGCTGTTCAGGAATAAATCCATGAGGGGAAAAAAAGAAAACAGGCATATGATTTTTGGTTCAGTTACTCTGTCTCATCTTATTTTCATATACTCCTATAGCACTTTCCCTTCACATATTGTCTCTAGTGGAGATGTTGGAGTCTTTTCCCTTGTGATTTCTATCATCTGGAATTCCTGTCTTCTCCCTCATTAGCTCTTCTTCCATTTTTCTCTATGATAATTTTCTTCATACTGCATTGCTTCTTGCCTTCCATCTTTTTTTATTTTATTTTAACTATAACTCCGTATGCACTACCTAATTGTCTTTGGGGTCTTTGAGGATTTACACAAAGTACTTCATACAGAAAATAAATCTAATGTAGATGAGTTTATCTATGTTGTAGGTGTCTGGAACATGCCTTTAGACAGCCGATATGTCACCCTGACTGGAACAATCACCAGGGGAAAGAAGAAGGGTCAGATGGTGGACATCCATGTCACGCTGACAGACAAAGAGCTGCAGGAACTGGCTAAGTCAAAGGAACCTCCTAAAGAGGACGTACCTGAGAAGAAGAAATGTGATGTTGGGTTGGACAGAGGACCCCACGTTGTCCTCTGGACCATCATCTGCCTCCCCATCATTTTTGTAGTGTCCTTCGTGGTTTCTTTCTACTACGGAACCATTACATGGTACAACATCTTCTTGGTGTACAATGAAGAGAGGACCTTCTGGCACAAAATCACCTTTTGTCCCTTTTTGATTATCTTCTATCCAATTATAATTATGGTGGTTTCTTTTTCCCTAGGCCTGTATTCAGCTGTGGCCCAGGTAGCATGGTCCTTTGGGTACTGGTGGCGTGCTGTCAGGGATATGGAGAAGGGCTTCTGTGGCTGGCTCTGCAGCAAGCTGGGCTTGGAAGATTGTTCTCCGTACAGCATTGTTGAGCTGCTAGATTCTGACAATATCTCAGGTAGTCTCTCTGGCAAGAGCTCTGCGCAGGGTGTTGAGACCTCAGCAGTTTGAGCCTTTGTCCTGGATGACTATGTTGGTCATGTGGGAGTGGTTTTCACCTAAAAAATAACACACTGATTTTCTTTTTTCAAATATATATATATATATATTTAAACACAAACAATGAATAAAATATTGGGCTGGGAGCGCTCTTTAAATGTCACAGAATGCAGGAATGCTAGCTTCACGTGCTCTGGGTGGGGAGGTGCATGGCTCTCCAAGGAATTGTCATCTGTTGTATCTAATTACAGCTTCTGGGAATGGTAAGAAAATCCAGATTTGCAGGGCTCAGGCTGTTTGTGGAGTGGCAGAGGTACATGATGCAAAGTCTGCTTCTGCCACATTAGACTTTACTTTTCAGAATTAGGGCGTAACAGTGACCCGCTGACCCAGAAAAGAAGTCTCTGTTCAGGGGATGAACTTCAGGAGGTAGGACTCCATTCAGAGGTGAAGGCTAAATTGCAAAATATGTGATGTTCCTGCAGTTTTCCTAGAAACGGTGTTTTTCCAGTCCTTCCAACAAGTGCAGCTAACTTAGGTAGGCTGACTGCTTAGACAGAGTTTGACAAACAGACCACTGGAATAGTTATGCCCAGCCTTTCACTGGGAGAGGAAAGCAGAGCTGCCAGCAGTGGCCTGTGAGCTCTATGCTGACCTGAAACACCCCCATCACACAAAGAAAGAGCAGGGCTTGCTTTGTAAGGCAACACGTGGGGACCTGATGAGCCTGTCACCAAGCAGCTTGAGGTAGCTGTAGGTGCATAGATGGGTGCTTGGGACACACCTGCATTTGGTCTCTGGGTAGGTGCACTGCTAGGAAGGATTGAGCTATGGGAGTGGTACACAATGTGCACTGCAAACAGTTGCATTATGGGGAAGAAACACCTGCTCTGAAGAACAATGATCAGTTTGCATCTCACTGCAATGCAGGTGCGGACTGACAGCGCCTGGATTTAGGGAGGTGGAGTTGAAGGTACTTGGGATAGGAAGGTCTCACTGAAACAAGTTATTCTGGTTTTCAGGTTGCTCTTATGGAAGAGCTGTGGGACCTCCCTTTCAGAATAGGAGCCTTTCAGAGCCTATGTCTATTAGTGCCTCAGCTCTGGAAATCTGTGTCCACTTCTTCCCTCCCCTCTTCCTGGTTAGTTATATGGAAGAGCAATGGATCATACATCCTCCTCCCCTCAAGTCTCATTTTCATAATTGGTTTCCCTTTGTTTGGGACTTTGCATGTCATCGTGGGCTTCCTGACCAGGCTGATGTGGCCGCTAGTGCCTGGAGAAATTTTAATAGTCTCTTTAAAGAAATGACTAGCAGAAAAGTTCTTTTTACTGCACTGACTGTTGGGGTTTTGGCCTATGAAGGATGTGAGAAAAGTAAAAGAGAGTTATAATGGATTCTAATGGGGACAGAGTTACATATCTGAAATGATTTATTTTCTGAGTGCTGTCATTCAGCTGGTGCTGCTAGAAAGTCTATCTGAGCCCCAACCCAGAGGAGCCCACCATTTGCATGTGTGTAGGTAGGTAAGTCATGGTGTGCAGTCTGTCAGCTGCACAGCCACTCATGTCTGTGTAGATGTTTCACTTTCCCAGTCTCCCTCCCAGATGGAGAGCTGCTCTAGTTTTAGGATGGTAAAAAGAAGCATTCAGAAGCTGGATTTCACAGGAACTAATGCTTTGTGTTGCATTTTAAGGATGACCTCAAGGCTACACTGTCTGTCTGTCCTGATTAGAACATCTGGGAACTAGTGATGTATAAATGAGTCCATCCGATCCTCTAGGCCTGACACTGAGAAATAAGTAGTTCCTGCTGCATTCTTGGTCCCTAAAAGGCATGGCCAAAGGAGCCTCTTAGCACTGGCTAGAGGATTAACAATGTGAATAGTGTACAAGCCCAATATCAAGGACAGGCTTGGCCCAACACTTTATTGACAAAGCAGAGGTGCTCCCTGGTGCAGGTACAGCCAGGCTGTGTTTGCTTCTTCCTACTTTCAGTTTTTACTGGTGAAGTCTTTCAAGGCAATGATCAACTTCCATGAAAAAAAAAAAAAAAAAGACTCCCACCTGTGAGACAATGTCAGGTAGTTCAGTGGGGTTCAAAGAGGCTGACTTACGCTGGGGACTGGTTCAAGCAGTGAAATGCCTTTCACACATCTGTCAGGTTGATATGCTTCTGAATTAGCTGAGGGCAAGTCATGCTAGTGCTGACAGTCTAGTGATCCAGTGCATCCACTCTGCTTAGTACTGCTCCACATGGAAATCACAGGCTCCCACATGGCTAGAGGGTGGAAAGAAGTGATGCTTAACAAGCATTAAGGAGAAGGAAGGTCCACTGGCAAGTGTTCTCACGCTTTGCCTGAAGGGACACTGCTGGCATAAAAAGAGTGGATTGTGTATCTTGGCCCCAACATGCAGCAGACAAGTTTGGGGAAAGGATGGCTGGCAAGTGTGCATTGCTGTGGAGGGAGAAAACCCAATTCAGCTGTCACTGCCAAACAGCAGCTGTTCAAGGCTAGATGAAAGGCTGGGGTCAGTAGCACAAAGAGCCTTTAGCTTACAGAGGGCTTGAATGATAAATACTAGCTCATTACAGAATACAGCCATGTGAAATGTCTGCTGAGCTGCAGGATTTGCTTTCAGGATTGCAAATAGCCCGCTGGAGTGGAGACAAAACCAGATCTGTGCCTCTTACTGCTATGTAGACACAAAGGAGTGTCAGAGGAGTCAGAGTACCCTCCCTCTGCCATGGCAGCTGTGCTTCTGGGTTTGGAGGTCCCCTTTGGGGGGATGTACTGGGACAATCCATAATGTGTTTTCTACTTGTTTATACTTAACCAAGCTTGTCTTGGCTCCTGCTAAAGTCAAGGTGTTCTGTCACTGATTTTTGTGGGGGCTATTTTAAGCTTGGGGTTAGTTCTGGTGCTATTTGTACAATTCAAACTTTTCTCCAAACAACTCTGAATAGCTTTCTCTCTTGCCCATTGTCCTCTTGTAGCAGTTTGCCTGATGCAAAATAATCGTTTTTCAATATAATTTTCAATTATTGTAATAGAAAAAAGCACAAATTCTTGTCTTGTTCTATCCGCTTTCAGAAACTCACAAGTAACTTCTGCTTATGTGCCACTGTCCAACTGCAGGAAATTCCAGTTACTCTGATTGTCGAGTGTGTTTCTGGCTGCTCTAGTCTGGATTTTTTTTTTTAAAGTAAAGGTAGTGTGTGTTTGCTGATTTTTATTTTTAATTGCATTCCCTTTTCCCATCCTTGCTGGCCTGGGTGGAGAATAAAGATGTATGTGGCTTTACAAGAGTTGTGTTCTCATGCTTCTGCTTGAATTTGGGTTAAAAACAATGTTGTGGGATTGACACAGTCATTCTATGCTGGTAATTGATTATAATTAATTCTATTTGAAGATCAATGTTAAAGTGTGTCTGAAATGGGTCTCAGTTCTACCTCTTGTTAACCAGTATTTGTCCAGATTTGTCATGTCTCTGGGTTCTGGGTTCTTAGTTTTTACTTCATAGTGCACAAATGAAAACTTTTGATTTAGTTTCACTCATTGGGTGTCTGTTTAGCTTTAGCCACAAGGGTCTACAGGGAGGGACACAACTCTATGCCAAAATAGGAAGTACTTTTAACGCTGCAAACATGCTCTGCGTGTCTTGGAGCTGCTATTTACAGCTGTGCTGGGAAGATTTTCTTACAATCCCTGAGTACTTCAGGCATATATCTGATCGGTCAAAGGAGGATGCATCAGTAGAGTTCTTCAAGGTGTGAAAATATTAAATGCCACCCTCAGTGCTCTCCCACACAGTCTGATTACAGTCCTACCCTCCTGCTAGCACAGGGAAAACACTTATTTGAAATCTTTCTTCGAAGGAGGAGACGTGTCTTTGGAAAACCCAAATGAAATTCCTAGCTGAGGGCTAGCACAGCTTCAGCGTAACAGCTCTCTGAGCCAAAACACTACCTGCAGGTGATTTCCTCAAACTGGCAGTGCCATGTCCAATGCAACAGCTGAAAGTAGCAAGAAGATGCTTTAGGTTTTATGCCTGCTGCAAACACGGCCAAGAGAACAGAATTCCCTGTGTGGTAGATGTGGAGAATTTTCCACCTCCAGTGAAGAACACAGTGAAGGACACTTGGCTTACTGGTGTGACAGGGTGAGATGGAGATAGTGGGCCCAGAGAATTAGCTCATTATCCTTTGCAGTTCTCAGCTCTGAGGTACAAGGTAATAATTTTATAAGATAATTGTTAGCAGTGTGAGACACTCCAATTGAAAACCTCTGCACCAGGCAAAACACACCTGTATGGCTGCACCGTGTACCTCATCGAGGCAAGAGAACGTGTTAATTCTGCCTGCTGACTTACCCAGCCCATTCACCTTCTTTGAGGACTGAAGCAATCACAGAATGAACTGTGCTTTTATCCACAGTTAGTCCCTTGAATTCACCCTTCTGATCCCTCATGACACTGCTTCAGATCTCAAGGCCAGGATCCTACAATTTCTCAAAGATTATCAGCAGAGGCTGCTCCATGGATCTGTGGAACCACCCCCATGGGTACCTTTTAGAAGCTGCAACCACTAGTTGCACACTGAAGCATGCAATTACACTAGCATTACAGAGAAAATAAGGATGCACAGCCCACATTCCTACACTGTAATGGACACAAATTTGCTCAAAATTTATGCAAGCTCCTTTTATCCCAGGCCATGAATTATCTGTGGGACCAGTGCCTTTCCTGCTTCTTTCCAAACACTTGGCAACGTGGAGGCAGTTGGATTAATATGTTTTCATTTCTGAGTAGGTTAGTCCATGCACATTTTTCCCCTGCACGTAAATGGGAAGTCACAAAAAGAAAAGAGAGAGGTTGATGCTGAGAGGCTGAATCAGGAGGTTAATCCACTTGGAAATACAACTTTTCAATTAATTTGGTGAATTAGAAGGGACATCGTGTTTGCTTGTCTTAACTACTAAAGCATGATTTCTCTTCCAACAGGCAGCCACTTAATGATGAGAGAGGGCTTGTGGTTGTGTATTTGACCCAGGTAAATTGCCAGAGAGTTCAAAAAGCCCCCTAAACATCCTTTCACATAACAGCTGAAGTGTGACTGCATTGCAAACAAGCAGCCCAGAGAAACACGGCTTGAGGCTCTCTCGTGTATCCCCCTTGGTCACCCAGTTCCATTAACTTTCAGTTTTCCTAATTTCATGTCATTACACGGTAGCTGAAGTCTGTCAGAATGCATTAAAATAAAGAGAATGCCTGAGTCAGGCCAACAATGCATTTTTCCCCATGTTAAAAAAGTGCCCTTGCTTTTAGTGTGCTAAAACATAAACCCCTGTCCCCAGAATACAGCAGCTAAAATCCATTGTGGTTTGCATCCATTGAAATTAGATATGCAGTGGATGAATTTGACCTGGAGCCCTTTAAGATACAAAACTTAGATGTGATCTCCCTGTCTTAGGGCTCCTTTTCCCAGCCATTTCTTCCCGGTGGAAATTCAACTTTGCAAGATAAAAAAGGATAACTACTGAATTTGATAGTATGTTCTGCCTGCAAATAGGATAAAAACCCACCTCCCAGGCAACAACCCCTCAGGGCTTGGTTTATTACAATTTCCCCCATCAGTGATGTATATTAAGGCCAATATATTTGAAGGTGCCTTTGACTATCCTTATTTGTAAGCTATGAGCTTTCTGCTCCTACAGTGATAAGGTAAGGAAATCAGGAAACTGGCTCATTGGGATATAACACAAATACAGCTTAATTTATTCTAGCATGATTAGCTGAGTCACCTGCAGTTGTGATCTGAACAACACCAAATATTGTAAATAAACTGAATGGCTTTTACAGTGTCAGTGCTGGGCATGAATCCAACAGCTCCTGGGATAGTCAGCCTAAGGAGAGTATGCCTTTTATTCAGTCTTTCTTTCTAAAATACATTACTTGTCCTAAAGTATGGATGTGTCAGCTTTTAATGATGTACTTAAATATATTTGTAACAAGATGCCCTTATAATTACAGGCAATTACTATCATTCCATCATAATGGAGATTTTTCTTAACACTTTAACCATGTCAAAGTTGCATGTAGAATTAATAAATACAAGCAATTTTCACCTTCATTAATTTATTCAAATGAGCTCCTCTGTGACTTAAGAAAGGAGCAGAAATAATTCCTAGTATCTGCATGTAGTAAAGACAAAAAGTGAAATATTTCATATAATGAGCTGTATCATCCCAGGGCGCACACAGTGTCATTGCTAAATGACATCTCGATTCTCCCCAAATAGTGTTGGTGGAGCTACTTTCAGTGACTGAAAGCAATAATAGCAGTGGCTCCTCTCTAATGCGATTAAACACCACTGAAGTGATGAACTCTAATACCAAAACAGGCTCTAAGGCAAAAGTTTCATGACATGGTGGTGACTTCCACCAGCCCCATAATTACAGCAGGATTGCTCTGAGGCTCCAATTCCACCCTAAAGCCAAATCTCTTTCAATGGCTAAATTTGCCATTTGTTTCAATAGGAAGTTGTAAAAATTTTAATGTCTGCCTTGAATGTCTAGCACAAAAAAACTGCAGAAATCATTGTCATCTTGATGACTGCTTTCCCTCCAAGGGACTACTACAAAAAATAACTGACAAGGAAAGCTTGAAATTATTCTTCCTCTGCCTCTGCATCTGACACTGTCACATATCTGCTAGTGTCATGGGTTAACATCAATTTATGCAAATAAAACCCAAATCTAATCCCTTCTTTCCTCTCAAGCAGCAGCTCCCTCCTTCACACTGCTGCTTTGTCCCCCACAGCTGTACAAACTGTGAACACACAGGAACTAAAAGATTTAAAACCTGACATCCCATCCTCCATGTTGCAGAGCTCCATTTTTAAAGTGCATCAAAGCTGGTATTTCTCTAAAGATCCGATATTTCAGCCTGTCACTCTGATTTCAATCTGCATCCAGGTGCAGGCAAACAGATAGAAATTTAAAATGGGATCCCCCTCTCCCAGCTTGGAAAGAGCCTTGTTTGGTGGCTGAAGACTCCTCATTCCCTCCCACAGGTCAGCTGGAGGGATAAGGGACAAAATCCTGTGCTGTGAGGATTAAATTAGATTATTAGCCAGTGTGTGCATGCATACGTGCATGATGCTGGTGGGGGAAGGATGAAACGGGGAGGATACGAAAGGCTTATCCTTGTGCATCCGCAAAGCAAATCCTTCACACAGTGAGTTATCCTGGCTGTCTTGTCCTGAACAATCCTGCTGCATGAAAGCGCTTTCCAGAGATGCCGCAAACACAGCTGGATTGCCAAGGGCTGCAAACAAAGACTTACTGCACAGGCAGCGCTGGGACAGAGAAAAAGACTGTGAAACAAAGAGCACGTGGAGAACAAGATGGATCCAACTCTGCTGCAGCGATTCCCCAATCTGAAATTGGCAGCAGCCAGTACATGACTTCTGGGAAAAATGTTGTGGGTTTGCTGTGTCCTATAATACATTTCCCCACAGTTTCTAAGGTACCATTTCATTTTTATTGGTATCTACTTTGTACTTACTACCTCTTCCTAAAACACCAGTATTAACTTTTTCCAAACACTATTTGATACTTGGGCTATTGCTTTCCCCAAAGCAAACATATCTGACACGATCTCTCTGGTCTTCTCCAGGAACCCAGGTGCTCTGCAGTCAGCTGAGCCCGACTATTTAAATTAATTTTAAAGCAAATCAGACCCTACACCACTGATAGTCCTATAAAACATAATAAACAAATAATCTGTTGTAACAGATTTAACAACTAATCCAGAAAAGTCTGTCAGTGTTATTGCAAGTGTAGAAACATGTCTCAGGTTTTCATTTACCTAGCAGTGGGAAATACTTCGCTCTCATGGTACCAGGCTGAGTGGGCCTTGCATCGTCTCCTGCAGAAATCCTTTGGCTAATCCACAGATTTAGAACCCACAAAGCAATCCTAAATAGAAACCCAGTTTTTAGACGTAGGAAGAAATTTTTAAATCTGCCTTCCAAAAAAGTGCAATGTAAGAGTATATGTTTTTTGCTGCTGTTGTTGTCTAATTTCTGCTTACCCATATGCAGAAATTCCTCTGCAGTTCGGCGGTGCTTGCTGGGTGCACGCTCCCTAATCCTGGGGGCTGCAGGGCTGCCTCTGCCTGGTGGCTGGGATAACGTTGCCCTCCAGTGGTTGAATGAAAAATCGAGATAAAAGCCCACTGCAGTATTTTTTTTTTTTTTGTGCTTTAGAAATGCATCCAAAAGAAGTCTGCACACAATGAGATTGC